CTTCTCTTTTCATGGTCTTAGTTTTCAGTCTGTGCTACTCTACCGCTTTTTTTCTCTCTCTTCATCTTTCTATTTTGGCACTATTCACTTCTTAAGAAATATGCTAATCATTCTTGTTGCTGTACTCTGCCTGATCACAATTCACTTTACAAGTATATCATCGTCATGTTAAGAAACTGCTTCTTGTACAGCTTTGAAAATGAAATTGATGTAAAGAGACTCTTCACTGAAATAATTTACATTCAACTTAACCGTTGTATGTTAACTTCTCTCTCTTTATATATACGTACTAGTAGACATAACCACCTTAGGTGTGTCTGACTTCCCAAGGTCTGATCTACTCCCTAGACGGTAGGATCTTGTGAATGTGTTGAGCAGAAATCTGAGTTTATTTGACATGTATTTCCCACTCCAGGACTGTTGTGCACCTACTCCTAGTTTAAGGATAGAGATTGAAGTAGATGGTGGAATGTGTCGAACACTTACTTACTTAGGGAGTTACATCAGCTTGAACAGACTGGTTGCTGACGAAATCTCAGCTTGGATACAGAAGTCTGGTTTGGCATTTGCCAACTTGAGTCGTCTGTGTCGCCGACTGGTGCGATATCAGACCATCTATCTGTGTTGCTAGTCTACTGTGTTCTGTTATACATCTGTGAGACATGCCTGCTAATGGTTTGATCACAGATACCTTCGTAGCACTACTTGCATTTGGTGGGATCACTGTGTGAACAATGTTGAGGACAAGAGAAGTGTCTCAGGGAAGGAAGGTAAGTTCGTAGATGAAGTTGTGAACCTCGATCGGCTGAGGTAACTTGGATGTGTATTGGACGTGTCAAACCACCACGTACCTCGACGTGGAGTGTTATGCGAAGTTGTATTGGATTAGAAAAAGACCTAGAGTGACGAGATGAAGACGTGGCACCAGTTGATGAAGTCTCCGATTGTAGGTCTGAGTCGTGTGAAGAGATGTAGAGTACCTGTCTGACATCCCTGATATGATAGGGATGGGGTGCTTGAGGACTCTTGATGAGATGTCTGGAAATCGGTGAGAATGACGCAAATGTGTTGTAAAGCTTGAATGTTATAACTAACCATAATCTTCAAATTCACTCTCCTCTATATACACCTTTGTCTAATTTCGATGTCAATTTTTCTCATCCACTTGTTCTACTGTGAAGTTGTGTCAAATTGAAATGATTCACTTGTGTGCGAGGTTCTACGTTGACTTCGTCTTTCTTTGTCTGTCTGATGACGTGTTAGTACTTCACATGACTGTCTTTTTTATTGTATTATCTTTTATCTTGCTACTTTGTATCTTGATTCCTTGATGATATGTGAACTTGGACCTCAATAGTAGATACCACAAATTGATATTTTATGCTTATATGAAACAGTCAGTCAGTGTTAAATGAAGATTAAATCGAATGGAATAGTGGAACGGGAATCAGTTTAGTGTGTTAGTTGTGCAATGAAATAACTATTGACAGGACAATTACAAAATTAGGAGACAAAATCTACAAATTGATGATTGATACTGAGGTTATGATTGAAGGTGAAATGAGAATTTGAACCAAGGCCAGATTCGAACCAGCGACCAATGGATTACCAGCCTGATGCTCTACCAACTTGGCTATGAAATAATCATTCATTTATACACATTCACTGGGGTGTGAATGTGTGTGTTTTTTGTTTATTATTATTATTATTAGTCCCTTGGGTTCCTAATGGAACATAGGGCTTTGGTAGCACGTCTCCAGTGAACTCTGTTCTCTGAAATCTTTTGAACCTGACTTCACGACAGCCCATTTCCTCCTCACACGATCTCCTCCATGTCACCCTCGGACGCTTAACTCGTCGCTTCCTATCTAGGTTCCACTTGAGTGCCTGGCCCGACGCCTGATATCCCCTGTCGGCCTTCTCAGTGTATGCCCAATCCATCTCCACTTCCTTCCACTGCATATTTGTTGGGTGATAGGTTCTTGGTTGGTTCGTTCCCAGAGCTCCTTGTTGCTTACTAAGGGTTAAATAATCACTATGTACTGATGATTTGTATTCAAGGAGGGGGTTAAAATCATGTGAATACTGTAACAAAATAGGGAATTACAAATGTGAAGAGTTACATCACGGTTGAGAATGACTACCAGTAATGGCATGAATAAATAAGGGAGTAGAACTATTAACATATGAAAATGCATATTTATCAATGTAATGACAATATAGAAGAAAGGGATGGGAGGTTAAAATGTGCAATTTGTAGTAGGAAAGTTCATCAAGAGTATGTTGATGACCCTATTGTGGGCCAAGGTATACAAAGGGGAGGTATATATTTCTTTTGATACCTATGGCTTTGGGTATGGATGAAATGCGTAGTCGTTTAGTTTTAAGGAGATTGCAAAGGATACAATATATCACAGAAAATGTATGATCTACCTCGATTAGATGTCCTGTGTCTACTAGATGTGAGAAGACTGCACTATTGTGACTCTTTGTTATTCCTTTCTGTTACCAAGCCAGTACACGTTCACTAGCGCGCATGGATACAGCTTGTTGAGTACGGCCTATATAAGTAGCTTCTTTTAAAGTGAAGATAGGAGTAACACAAGACTGCTTACTATCACCCATGATCTTCCTGATTGTGGTCAACTGGATCATAGAACAAACTATAAAAGGGCGAGAAGACGGGCATACGCTGGTTGACCGGGGAAAAGACCCCAAAATAAGATTTGGGTTTTGCCCATAATAACTTATGTCTATTGTCGCACAAATAGCAAGTTGACAGAAGAAGCAGCGAAAACGGGACTTCAAATAAATGTAGAGAAGACACAGGTGATGAAGATACCCAACCAACAACAACAACAAGCACCAATCACTATGAATGGCAGAAACCTAAAGGAACTAATCTCTTTCACGTACCTAGGCAGCATCGTTTCAGCTACACGCAACAGCACAGATAAGGACGTCAATGCCAGGATCAGAATGACAGGCTTTCATTAATCTGAAATCAGTGTGCACATCTATTGCACACCATTGCATTCAGCATAAACAACAAGATCTAGATTTTCAACACTAAGTGAGTCAGTCAATCCAGTGCTTCTATGTGACGGTTGAGAGACTTAGCGCGTTACGGAAAGCATTTCCAACAAACCGCAGACATACATGAACGTTCACTCAATAGTGAAGATCGGATCAGAAGGCGAGGAAGTATAAGCAAGCAAGAACTCTGGCTGGCTGGCAACGAGCCAACCAACCAACAACCTATCACCCAACAAATACACAGAAGAAAGTAGAGATGAATTGGATTGGACACAGACTGAAAAGACAGTTTGGAGACATCACGCGCCAGACGAGGTTGTCGAGTGGAAGCGAAATGATAAGCGACGAGTTGGGCATCCGAGGCGAGGGTGACATGGAGGAGATGGTGTGAAGAAGAAATCTACTGAAGCCGTATGTTCCACTAGGAACCCTTGGGACAAATAATGATAATAAAATGTAGCTGAATAGGAGCCTTCATCTGTGACAAGAATATCTTTCTCTGTTTTTCTCTCTAGGTGTCAACATAGGTCAGAATATATGTTTCTTATTGTGTGATTCAGTCATTTGACCAGGTTTCTTTTTATATTGAATCGGTGTAAAGCAATAAAAGTGTATATATATTGACTAGTCCATGTGTTCTTTCAAAAAATATCCCTCATAATATATGTCCATCCATCTCCTTGATGAGAAAGACATGTAGGAAAGGAATACTATTCCAGCATTCCATTTTCGTTAGACGTAGAATATGCAGATGACATAGTCCTGTTAGTCCTGTGAAGACGCTGACAAGATGCAGAGTCTTGTGAACACTTTGACTGTGAATTTGAGAATGTTTGTGATGCGGTTCTGACCACCGAAATGCAAATTGTTGCTCCAGGATTGATGTTTAGAGGTAAGTGCCTTGGCTAATAATAGAGTGTAGTGGTTGAGTGTGTTGACGACTTCACTTACCTTGTAAGTGAAATAGGATGAGAGTTGGTGCGTTGGTCAGTGGCCGGTGAAATGTCTGCACGAATAGAAAAGTCTCGATTGGCTTTCGTCAATTTACGCCACCTATGGCGCTGGTGTGATATCCGATTATGTATTAAGGGTCTCGTGTATTGCATAGCAGTCTGCTCTCTTCTAGTGTATGTCTACGAAACATGACCATTGAAGGTGGAAGACATGAGAAGGTTGGCTTCAAGTGTTTGACCACCGTTGCTTTTGGAGTATAGGCCGTATTCCATGGTGTCACCACATGGGTAACGCAGAAGTTAGGTATAGAGTTTTAGGGAGTAGAGGTAAATCAGTTGACGAGGTGATGAACCTTCATCGATTGAGATGGTTGGGACACGTATTTACGTATGCTTAGTCACCGATTGCCTCATCACTCAATGTTGGCTGAAGTAGGTTGAGGCTGGAAAAGGCGTGAGGTGGTCAGACTAAAACATGGTACCAATGCATGAAGTCTCTGACTGTTAGTTTGAGGCATGTAGAGGGGCGATGCAGATTAGGTGGTTGGGGTCTGTGTGACTAGAGGAACCAATGGTTAGAGACTCTAGGTGATCATATGGCTGAGAACCGATGCCAGTACCGCGGATGTATACACACTTCTGACTGAGTTTTTTTGTCTTCATCTTTCACCTGACTACCTTTCTACTTGATGTACTACTGATATGTTGTGTGGTGGGAACTCGGACCGTTACACAGTAATGCTTGGTCGTATGTTGATATTGTTGTTGTTGTTGTTTCACTATGCGTAACATTGACTGACTGTTTCAATATATAATAATAATTGTACATCATGCCTCATTTTGGCCTATTGTATTTTTCACATATTCTCATGGATTTATAACTGAGTAACACCTGAAGAAGTAGAAGAAGACAAGGATGTTAGTGGAAACTATTGTTTTTCTATGAATAATCTTTGAGAATATTTAAATTCTGTCAATGATAGAACTTATTTTACTGTTGTTTTGTTTTAGCCTGAAAACAGTATGAATCAATCTCTTAATCAATCTTATCACACCATAAATAATAATCCATATTTAACACCAATATTAACTGATGATAAGAATAATTCATCACCTATTCAAGATATTCATTGGTTACATAGAGGAATATCGTCGTCAATAAGTCATCAATTGAATAGTCCATATTGTAATCTATTATCATGTAACAATAATAATAATCATCATCCTGATGTATCTAATAAGGATCTTGTCAATGATAATAGTTGTAGAAATGTTGTCATAGGACCTCATGTAATCCAATCAACTTCAGGGTATACAATGACTTTACCTGAAAGTTATCAATGTTGTACTACAGCACCAGATTTACTCATAGATCATGATCAGATAGCTACTGGTGCTCGTATGATTATTCATTCACCGAGTTGTTCACCACACTATGGTATTGTTGCAGGAACACGATCTATATCTTCTGGATACCGTCCACAACAACAACAACACCAGCAACAGCCACTTTTGTATCCTATGCCAGTTTGTTGTTATCAAACTTCATTGAATACCGCTGCTGTTGCCGCTACCACTACTCTTATAAATGATAATAATATTACTGTACAGCCAATATTTTCTTCGGCAAATTTTACATTTAATTCTACACAACAAAATCAAACAATGTATTCTAATGTTGTAAGTCTTTGGTTATTTTCTGTTATTATAGAACAAAAACCTTTTCCTTTTCGTGTTTATATTGTTACTTATAATTTCCTGTCGAATTATTCGACTCATGTTAGTAGATCAGCTTCTATACGGTTGTGTACTTGATGATATGGTGGCTGTGGTAGCAGTTGAATGAATGTACAAAGCAGAATTTAGCCTCATTTACGACTGATTCGTCAGTTGAGGAGTGATGTTGTTCCCCTTGTAGACTGGAAGCCAGTACATCTATCTTTTCAACGGTTTCACTTCTTTCTGAGAACACGATGGAATGAGTAGTCTAGGGATGAGGAATTTACTCAGTGGTGGAGAATGTCTCTAACTCATGTGGATGGTCTTGGTTGTATTGTGTTCCCTGAGGAGGAGGAGGTGAGTTGTTTAATCATGGAGAAGCTTTCATTGTTTTTCTTTCTAGACAGTGACATCATCATCATCATCATCATCGGCAGCACCAGCAGTACTAACTTCTTCAGTATGAAGTAGTGAGCTGCCACAATATCCCTCCATGAATGATTAATTTAGTAGATTGCCGTGACCAACTGGTTTTGATTGGTTGTTCTCTTTGATTGTTATGTCACTGATTGACTGAATAGATTTTCCTGTTGGCTCTTCTTCTACTCCACTTCTCACCTTTGTGTCGTTTATCCTTTTACCTCATTAGTTGATAGACTGGGTCTATGTCTATACATCTGTTGATTGCTCTGCTGACTGTCTGTCTGATCTGAATGCCGAACTTCTAGGAATTCTGTGATGATATTCTTTGTGTTTCCCCTCTCCACCGAAGATTTCTACAGTGTCAAAATTGAATTCATGTGCATATTTGTGTTATCCACGTGGGCTGAGTGACGAGTGATGAAGTGTGTGGTGTGTGTGTGTGTGTGTGTGTGTGTGTGTGTGTGTGTGTGTGGTTTAATAGCTGATTGATGTTCTCATGTGAAGGAAGGTGAAGGTGGGCGATGACTTTCATCAGTGTGAGGGTGTTGACTACAGTTGGTTATTCCAGTTGATTTTGTAAATGATATTCGGTTTGCCTTTGGTCTTTGGTTGTTGCATTCATTGGTCTGGATAATGTGGTTTTGAGGGGATTTGTTGGTTGATGAGTGGCCACATCGATTCCACCAAGTGGTGTCAGTAATCCTATCGTGATTTCTGATACATCTTCTGTATGTATGGTAGGATGATGTGTTTGTTGATTTCTATAGATGATGTATGGGATACGCGTCTTGTGATAAGTTTTCGTGGGTAGCCATTTTACTTTAGGATAGACATCATGGAATTTTCTTTGTTTCTCCATGAAGTTGTTGTACTGTAGTGTGTTGTCGCTTTTTTGAATGGAGGTGTCACGCGATTAATTCTGTGCGTTGTTTTGTTGAGTATTTGATCAGTCAGTGTGTGTTGGCTTCTCGTACACTTGGGTTTCCAGTTTTCTGGCATTTGTTCTACTGACTAAAACATCCAGGAATGATAGTTGGTTGTTCGACTCCGTCTCCATTGTGAATTTGATGTCATTGAAAACGTTTTTGGTCAAACTGTGAGTGCTTTCTCAGTCATCTTTTATGATGATAAAAGTATCATTACGTAGTGAATTCAAATGTTCGATTTACTCCCAGGTAGAATGATGGTTTCCAGTCTCTGCATCACTGCTTCTTCAATTAATCAGGATATCGGTGATCCCATTGGGTTCCTGTCATCTGTTTGTATATCTTGCCATTGAATTGGAAGTATGTTGTAAGACAAAGGTCGATTAGTTTCATCAGACTTGAACATTTAGGTTTTGTGCACTGTGTAAGGCTTGTGTCTTCATTGAGCAGAAGGGTCATAGTTTCCTTGACCAACTGGGGTTCGATGGATATGTATAGTGCTGTGCATAAAAGGATACCATTAATTCGTCGTTTTCTATATTAATACTTTTGATCTTTTCTAAGAATTCTGTTGGTGGTTTGATGGAATGTCCTCATAATTGAAAAGGTGTTTTCAGTTTCTCGAACGTTCTCTTGATATGTTGTATGTTGAAGTTCCCGGAAGTGAGACTATTGGTCGTACAGGGACGTCTGGTTTGTGTAGCTTGGTCTACCGTAGAACCAAGAAAGGACAGATCCATTCGACTTCATTCACCATTTCTCTTGCTCTGTTATTTCTTCTGTTTTGATCTGGTTGCCAAAGTTTTGGAGAGGGTTAGTTCCAAGTGGTTGATATACATTTTCGTTTTGAGTAAATCGTCTGCCTTCTTGATGTAATCTTCCTTGTCCATGACTACCGTGGTGTGTCCTTTGTCTGTTGGAAGTAATAACGATATCTTTCCTATTTTTCAGCCTTTTTAATGTTTTCTGTTCTTGAGTGTTCATTTAAGCGTGATGTCTCTTCTGCCTAGTCAGTGGTCCGATTGTTTACCATATTTCTTGTTGAGTGGCCACATTTAATCCTGATGTTTTAAGTACCGACTCTAGCTCTGCAAAGAATTCTGGTCTGAAGGCATCTCTTGTGTTGTAATTCAATCTCTTTTGGAGGAGAATTTCTTCCATTTTTGTTAGTGGTTGTTTTGACCCAACAATCAATCACAAACCAGTTGGTCATGCCAATCTACTAAATCAATCATTCACGGAGGGAAGAAGTTACTACTGATGATGTCATTGTCTCAAAAGAAAGCTTCTCTACAATTAAATAACTCAGTTGCTTCTCAGGGAACACAATACAACCACGGATTTACTGAGTCCACGTAATCTTTAAAGCTTGTGAATATTAATGATAATTCAGTTATTTACAGATGATGCATTCCAAAGGCTTTTGGGATTTTAGAAATTGATTACTCTCAAGGAAACTTCTAGTGGTGGCTAGATGTTGAAAGATAACTTGGTGTTGAAAAGTAGAACTCTTCGTAGTCCTTTACTCTTCGGATAACCAAAAAAATACGTTTATTGACTTGATGCTGTGTATAACCACTGTCAATAGTATCGTCCCCTAAAGAGAGATGTTCGATTAACTTAACGACTTCCTTTCGGTTTTTATCAATCAATCAATCAATATCAACATAGGACCAGGCATTACTGTGCAACAGTCCGGGTTGCCACAGCTCAATATAGTACATCAAGTAGAATGGTAGTGAGGTGAAGGATGAAGATAAAAAATTCAGTCAAGAGAAATATAAAGTACAAGAAAGAAAAGAGGAATGACAAAATGCGTCATTAAGATGAGGATAATGTGTGTGGCGATACATCTGCGCCAATGACATCGGTTCTCAGCCATGTGATCACCTACAGTCAATCGCCAACCACTGGTTCCTCTTGTCCCGCGCACCATAACCACACAGTCTGCATCGACCCTCTACATAGCTCAAACCAACAGTCAGAGACTTCATGCATTGGTGCCATGTTTTAGTCTGACCACCTCAGGCCTTTTTCAAGCCTCAAACTACTTCGGTCAACATTGTGTGATGAGACAATCGGTGACTGGGCATACGTAATACGTGTCCTAACCATCTCAGTCGATGAAGGTTCATCACCTCGTCAACTGATTCACCTCTACTCCCTAAAACTCTACTCCTGACTTGTGCATTACTCACGTGGTGACACCATGGAATACGGCCTATACTACAAAGGTAATGGTGGTCAAACATCTGAAGCCATCCTTCTCATATCTTCCACTTTCAATGGTCATGTTTCACAGCCATAGAGTAGAGGACAGCAGACTGCTGTGCAGTAAACGCGACCCTTAACAGACAAACGGATATCGGTTTTCATACTGACACAATGGTGCCCCTAACTCTTTAGATATTATCCTAAAGTGTGTGAGACAAATTGCAATGCAAAAATACAGTAAATAGCAGTTTTTCTCCGACGAGATGTCTGACTAATTGTTAAAAGATGAGTATTCTGTCCTTTTCAAATATATGTGTCTTTGTAGCATTGCTCATTTGTAGTAGAATCACTGTGTGAACAATATTGATTTTAGCCGAAGGGTACTTCACAAGGAATGCAAATGAATCGATGAGGTCATTCACCTTCATCGAGTTTGCTCGATTGGACATTTATTGTGCATACTGAGCTATTACCTGCCTCGACATACAATATTATCCGAAGTTAGACTGATTTTTAATAATCCTCAGGATAATTTGGTTGGTTGTGACTAGCAAGGAATCTAGGATGCACGTTTTATCTTATTCAGCACTTGTCAGCTGGGATGTACCTGCATCCTCCAGTGCGGAGTAGTGTTGTCCCCAATAAAACATGAACCTCGTACACATCGCTTCAGACGCCAAGGTCGAGTAATTCAATCCACTAAAACAACGGAGAATGAGAAGCATATCAAGAAATAGTAATAACTAATATCCTTTCTACAAGAGGTGGTTCTCGTTCCTCCTTGGCTTAGTGGCTAACGTTGTAGCGTTTGAAGCGATGAGTATGAGGTTCGAGTCCTGTTGCTAGTAACATCACTGACTGGTTTGAACCACTGATTATTCCAATCTTCAAGAAGGGCAAGAAGTCCTCCAGTGATAACCACAGAGGAATCAGTCTGACGAACATAGTGTCTAAAACTCTAGGTTCTATAATTCTTCGACACCTGAGTGGAGCTCTGGAACAGCAAGCTTAAGAAAACTAGGTAGGTCTTCGACCCAACCATGAGTGTATCGATCAAATATTCACACTGCTCCAGGTCCTGGAACATAGGCACGCTTACCGACGCCCGACAATAGCTGTATTTCTCAACCTGAAGTCCACATTTCACTCCGTTGATCGAGAAGTCTTATGGCAATGTCTCTCACTGAAAGGCATCCCGAGTAACTACATCACCTTATTATTCAAGGCTCTCTACTCGAACACTTGTGGGTGTGTTACAGCCTATGGTGAGTTGTCCAGGGAATTATGCTCATCCAGTGGTGTCTGTCAAGGATGCCCACTCTCTCCATTCTTATTCAATTTTATCATAGATATTCTTATGGAGGTCTCCCTCTCGTCACCTAACTACTAACTATACTACTACTACTACTACTACACAGAGGTTGACCTAATCACAGGAGAATTTTCGTTACACGTAGAATATGCAGATGACATAGTCCTGTTAGTCCTGTGAAGACGCTGACAAGATGCAGAGTCTTGTGAACACTTTGACTGTGAATTTGAGAATGTTTGTGATGCGGTTCTGACCACCGAAATGCAAATTGTTGCTCCAGGATTGATGTTTAGAGGTAAGTGCGTTGGCTAATAATAGAGTGTAGTGGTTGAGTGTGTTGACGACTTCACTTACCTGGTAAGTGAAGTAGGATGAGAGTTGGTGTGTTGGTCAGTGGTCGGTGAAATGTCTGCACGAATAGAAAAGTCTCGATTGGCTTTCATCAATTTACGCCACCTATGGCCCCTGTGTGATATCCGATTGTCGATTAATAGTCAAGTGTACTGCACAGCAGTCCACTCTCTTCTACTCCATGGCTGTGAAACATGACCATTGAAGGTGGAAGACATGAGAAGGTTGGCTTCAAGTGTTTGACCACCGTTGCTTTTATAGTATAGGCCGTATTCCATGGTGTCACCCCATGAGTAATGCAGAAGTTAGGTATAGAATTGGGAGAGAGGTCGGTCGGTGACAAGGTTATGAACCTTGATTGACTGAGATGTTGGAACGTATTACATATGCTTACTCACCGATTGCCTCATCACTCATGTTGGCTGAAGTAGTTTGAGGCTTGGAAAAGGCGTGGGTCAGACTAAAACATGGCACAATGCATTTAGTCTCTGACTGGGTTTGAGGCATGTAGAGGGTCGATGAAGACTGGGTTATGGTGCGCGGGACAAGAGAAACAGTGGTGGCGATGACTGTAGGTGATCACATGGCTGAGACCGATGTTAGTGGGCAGATGTATCGCTACATACATTATCTCATCTTAACGAAGCTATACCGAATGTGGTCCCATGATGATGCACTCCGGACGCAGACACATCCAGCTTACGAGTTCTGAGTTCTTCTGCTAGCCACAATCAAGTAAACTATCATAACAAGTATCCAGACAATATCAAGGCATCTACACAAGTTGGACAATTTGATCCAATGAAACAATAGAGAATTATATACATATCAATAAATAGTAATCATCAGGATGTTCAGGGAAAGATGTGATGCCATACCATGAAACTGACTGTTGATCTGAGCAAGTGACTAGTCTCTGATCACAGAGGGGTTTTCTGTTGTCATGAGAATGCTGAAACCGTGTTGAACGATTAGTCTGCCGTAGTTTCTGAAACCTTATTCATGACTGACAGAACCCTGAGGAAGATAAACCTGTTTATATGGTCTGTTAGGCTGTACACTTTATATTCTCAACGATCACCTATTCCAACGTTTAATATGGTTAACAAACTAGAAGGATAGTTGTCTCTCGTTATTTATTTTACCTAGTGAAGTAGTGGTATTGTGTTTATCTGTTGTATCATTTTCCCCTTCTCTATCTGTCATGTAGGCATGCCCAGATTCTTATGTTGTAACTGGAGCTCAATTTTATAATGAACTCAATCGTACATCAATTCCAGTATTACCTGAAAATGATATCGAGGGTAACTGTGCTGTCAGCGTGAGAAACATTGCTTGTGGTGGTGACGGCGGTGGCGGTTGCAGTAATAATGACTCAGATGCATTTGACAGTGAAGATGAAATTGTCTCTGTAACTGAAGAGGATGACGTGAATAATTCAAAGGGAATACATGACCAAGGCACTGAGAAGTCATTAGATGAAAATGAATGTCATCAACACCAATATTATAACAATCAAAGTCACCCTAGTAATAACTATGATTATATGATTGCATTTAATACAAATAATAATCCTTATTTTATACCTGGTTTTATTAATTCAAACCTTAATCCGACAACAATCAGGCCAACTAATGTGATTACAACAACTACACCATCATTGCCAAGAATCTGTCTTCCAACACATCATTCATTACCGGTCTACTCAGATATTATGCCTACAAGATGTTATTCATTTGTTGGCCCAGATGATGGTGAAATGTCCAGTGTTAGTCAAAGTGCTAGTCAAGTTGTCCCACGTGCCTCTTCATCTTCTTCATGTCCAGATTCATCATCATCGTCATCAACATCATCTTCACCACCTTCTTGTTCACCTTTGAAATTATCACCTGAGTTACATTCATCTGAGTCATGTAAACCGCCTGTTTGCAGTGTACAAACTCTTACTGTCACAACAGTTTGTTCTTCATCTCCTCCTTTTAGCACTTATGGAGATGGTGATACACATGTAGATGGGTTAAATAGTAATCAGTCAATGTCGAACAATGTGTAATGTTTGTACATGCGTCTATCCATCCGTTTTATCGCTTTCTTCCACTTTCGGTGTCTTCATGAATTTCATTTTCAAGTTTCTCACTTCACCCCTGTGTGTGTGTGTGTACTTTAGCCTGAATCTTGTTTTCAATATTTCAATGACATTTTTTTTCATCAACGCCTTTTATAATTATTATGCCGTTGAAAATATTTCGATTATTTTCTTTATCAGTCAAATGAATTTCATGCATTTCTTTCTCTTTTTTTTCAAAAAAAAAAATCGAAATGAACAGAGATGTTTTGTTTAAATGAGTTGAAGTATCACTCGAATGACCTTGAACGAAAGCGCCTTTTTTAAATTGACTAGTTCATCTATTTACATACACATACACACACACTAATATTGCCTTCTGTCAATCATTATTTGTCATTATGTGCATAAAATTGTATTCTTTAATTATTTTGTTGTATTTAGTCTTGTTTAATTTTATTTTGCCATTTGTTGTACATGTGTTTGATTAAGTTTTTTTTTTGTTTTCTTTTGTGATCAATATGTATGATATATTTTTTTTCTAGCTTGTGTAAACATCAACGAATTAATTGTATAAAGGTGTTGTACATGTGTGTGTGTGTGTGTATGTGTGCAGGCAGAGGGTTTAATCTTCTCATTTTATGCTTCGTTTTAATATGAATAAAGAATACAAAGGTGTACTATTGAGAAACTTTGAATTACTCCTCATTCGATGTGCGTTTTTTTTTTTAATTGAATAGAGCAAACTGGATATTATCTACCTACGTCTATTATTATGATTATTATTATTAGAAGTGTTTTAAATAAAAATGTTATTTGCAGTATGGATTAACTATTTTATACGAACGAATACACTTTACTGATATAACTGCAGTCATGTGGGAGAGACAGAAAGATGATTCACCTTTTGTTGATAGATGTGTGTAAATATACTACTAATAAACGACTTAAGTAGTTAGAAATCACTCAGGCTGATGTGAGTAATCTGGGCACCCGTAGGCTGATGAATCCAGCTACCTAACTTACATGAATCGATATATGATGAATAGAATGATCAGTTTGAAAATGATTTACCAATTGACATTTTTTTTTACAGCTGATTAGTTTATCAACTGCCCAACTTTGGTGTCAACAAGGTTTCCGTTGGGAACCATTCAACTGAGGTGACAAGGTATAATCTTTGAGATAAAAGTGTCATGAATTAGCGAAATATACTACTACTGCAGAAAAAATTGAGTGGTTGAGAATTACTCATTGATCAGATTAGAATAATCTAAAAACACCCGACTGCCGTTTCACTTGTTTAAAGCCTAACCAGCTCATCAGTAGTGTACTAGACCAAATTTAAGTTAGCTGTGAAAAGTGTCAACGTGAAGCGTGCAATCTGTAACGTGTCGGAATCCTAGATGGGGATGGAGTTCTCACTTCACATTCCCTGTAAAAGATTGATCATCATTAACCTTGGCTTATTACATCATCTAAGTAGCATTGAACACTGCTTATCCTTATTTAATTACTTTACACAGTTGACCTTCAAACGGTCAGCCTTAAGTTCGAATCCTGCTCTACCTACTTTCCTCACAGCTTAGCATATAAATCTATATCATGTTACTGATGAATCACAACGTTATCTTGCAAGGCGAAATATATATATCAAACCACCATATCATAAAACTGTCCTGCTTGTTACACTCAACATTGATACCCATTTCGTTGAAGAATCTGAATACCAAATTTTAAATATAAGCCACATAAATATACTTGACATTGATATGAGACTGATGTTACAAGTACTGGGAATAATAACAGATAGCTACGTTAGCAAATGATGAAACAGCCAATCAGCTTTCGGTACTTCAGCTAGTAAGGTAGTTATTTTTAAAATGAAATATGATTGGCTACTTCAACAACCTCTAAAACATCTTCAGCATTCCGGGAGTGAACTTCAAGGTCAATTTACCTACTGCTGAAATAATCACCCAGATTTCGTCTATGAAGTTAGTTTGTCGTAGAATGGAAGCACCTAACCGGTTATCTCAGCAGTTGTTAAATTAACCATTAGTATCAGCCATTCGAGTAGTTCTAAAAGTCGGTCTAACAATCACCGAAAGAAACAATTACGTTCCTGTATTCTGTGAAAGATTACCTTGCCAAGCGAAATATCAAAGCTTGGTTGGTTATTTCAGTAGTTGTCTCGGTGGCCTTTAAAGTCCAGTAACTATTCTAACAACCAATCAGCGTTCAGTATTTCGTGGAAAATTACCTTTTCTGTTTGAATAAAGACACCTGATTGGTTATTTCGGTGACCTATAAAGTTACTGATAAGGTCATCCAATAATTCACTATACTTGTCATACAGGTAGTCAAATCGAACACTTTACTGTCCACTGTGACTACGGTTGAGATAACCAATTTCTTTTTGCAACTATGAAAAGCTATTGCTATGGGAATATACAGAAAGGAGTGGTCTGGAGAAGTCAAAATATAGTTTCTGTTATCACCTCTACAATTAGATGCATCAGCCAATCTGCCTGCCTGTTTGTTCGTCTATAAGGTTCCACAACAATGGAGACCGGTCGTTGTAGGCCTTCACTATACCCCAGGTGTTATCATATTGCGATTTCAAGATGTTAAGTAATGATTGGTGAAAATGATTAAATCCAATTCGATGTGAATACTGTAAGTTTTCATTGAAAGATTTTTCTAAGATTGTTAACAGTCTTAGTAACATGAATACGAAAAACAATACCGTAAACTCTTTCGATGTATACTCCCTATTCACTAACATGCCATTGTCCAAGACTATTAACATTCTCTGCAACCACATATCTTCTAGAAACCTCCTATTCCCTATTACTCCAACTCTTTCTGAGGAAGTGTTATTGTTGTATACCGACAAAGTCGACTTCACATTTGAAAGTGAACGCTTTTGACAAGTTCATGGTGTCGGAATGATGGGTAGTAGTCCCTTAGGAGCATTACTAGCTGATATTTATATGTCACATAACGAAAATGTGACTGGTGATCTCATCGTTAAATTTCTCTTTACGAGAGATATGCCAATGACATCATAGTGGTTTCCTGAGAGACATGAGGATATGGTTTGTCTACTACAAAGACCTGACACCGTACAAACTCACATCGGTCTGACTTGTGAGAAAGAGAATATTAATCATCTGTGATTGTCAGACATACTCCTGAGTCGACGAGAAGATGGTTCATAAAGGTGGTCAGTTTATAGAAAGCCGACGTGGACAGGACAATAGTTGAATTTTCACAGATTTTGTCCAATCCAATCCAATCGAAGTGGGGTCTAGTAAAATGCCTGTTTAATAGGATCTATGGTATCAGTACATCAGATAGGATGGATGAAGATATCAAACTACTGAGGAGGAGAATACTTATTGGGAACGGATATCCGATGAAGTTCATAAACCGTTTTATGAGTCAGGTAACACGAAAGCCGATTCTATACACGGTTCCTACCATACAGAGAGGAGTTGAACAGTACAGTTTTAAGATGTAGTCTAACACCTTAGGGAAACATACAGTACATGACGAATCTTCTGATTGTGGAAGAAACAAAACACATGCTTCACCAAAAACCTAAACATTACATCAATGATTATGTCACATCCCATTGTGTTTACCAATCTGTGTGTGTGTGTGTGTGTATGTGGTCACACATACATAGGGAGGGGTAATCGAGTCAAACAGTTGACGGTAGGAGAACATGTGCGAAATGGTTTCGGAAACAAGTGGAGTGTGAAACCGTAATAAACGCTGGTAGGAAATGACACTCTTCATCTATGTAGCTAAATAGGTCACAAAGTTAATGTTCAAGCATCTTTCAAAGTTTTATATAGAAACAGTCAAGCACGTATTCTGAGTTTGCCGAAGTCATAGCCATATACAAATTGAAACCATGTTTGTGTGTATATAAAACAATTTGTTCTTACACTACACCTACACCTTGCTAAACTGTGTTTTCTTACTAAGATTAGTATCAACTGTGTCACAATTGGGTGGCGGTTGCGCTATATCGTGAGCTAACAGAAGTTGGAAATATGGATTATTGGATTCTGATCCAGTGGCTCAGTGGTAACGTGCTGGCCACGGAGCCTGAAGGTCGCGGGTTCGGTCCCTGGGGGGGGGTCATGGGTTTGCACTGCTGAGGAATCTCATACTAGGACGAAACAGCTGTCCAATGCTCCCGCGCTTTTCAGTTTTCCTCCAACTGATGTCAGTCTACGATGAGTAACAACTTGAAATATTTCCAGATCACCACAACTCCCTCAAAATTCAATTGGACTGATGCTCATTGATGACTAGCTTCGAAAGATACTGCTGAAGTTCCAATGAGAGGTCATGACCGATGGGGGCAAAGCCTGATACGTCACAATTCTTGTTTCTTCTCATCTTTCTTCATTTCAATTCCCTGGTTATCTTAATGGCTCTATTTATCCTCCCACTTTTCCGTTTAATTTATGTTGACTTGATAAATATTGAAAGCCTGAGAGCACTAGTCAAATGTTTCGTCCTAATTCTTATCAGTAGTGTCAGACTACTCTATGAGGGACTGAGTCTACAGTTGTGAACATACACGATAATCACTTTACTATTTATCCACCTAGTTGAATTTTATTAGTTCCCATTTCCCCTACTTTTGTCTGGCAGCTCTACAACTGATGATTGGTACTCCAATTACTGTTAATTTGTTATGGAAAATATCTTGAAGATTGAAAGTGATACGAATGTAAACGAAGTTGATTAAGGCTGGGTGTTAGGCGAGAATCTACACTTATGCATACCATTCAACTGACTATTGTTTGTGCTTTACATCATTTCGAATAATAATTTGATCATACATTTACTTGTCACAAGGTAAAAGTGGAAGTTGTCATGTCCATGATATTTACCGAAGGCTGAACTGGTGAGGTCACCAGAGATATCTTGATAATCAAATTATGACGTGTGACAAACATGAA